CCCCCCCCCAACTAAAACGAGTAGGATGGTCCCGAACCTTTTAAAACCCATTTTATTCAATTGAAATTTCAAAGATTACTACCCTAAGTATTAAAACTGATCCACAAACTAAATTAACTAAAATGGATCCTAATTCACTAATATTTAAATTTTAATCAAAGTTTCCCTTTCAGGCTTTCAACAAATACGAATGCGAAGCAACTTGAACTAACGACCCAACATATGAACTATCTAAAGCCACACAAGTCTACTACACACACGTAGATTTGTTAGGGCACCACTTCTAGCTCTAGGATTAGGGCCGACAATTTTCCTTTTCTGCTTTCTGTGATGTGATGCTCTGTGTGTGGCATGCGTGATTGATTGATTTGCTTTGCTTTGATGTATTGTGATTAATATGATGCTTATTTCATTGTTGTGCCTTCTTTACTTTGCTTGTGATATGATTTGTTCGATATATCACCCATGGGTTAGGGGCGCTCTTATTACTAACGTTGTCTTCTGCATGTGGTCATGCTCATGCAGCGCTAATAAAGAGAGGGCAAAATTCATTAAGCTTTAAAACTATCAGTATTTTCTGCATGTGCTTCAGAAATTGCTAAAGTTCCATCCTTAAATAAAAAACAACATGGTCAAGTGTGATTGGCAATGAGCACTTTCTTTTCATATATAATTGCTTGGGTTGTTTTATATTCAATTGCTTAAAATTTTCTATTATGATAACTTTGCAGGTTCAGTTTGAGTCTATATTTTATTTTTCATAATGTAATTTGAGATTTAATATCGAGTTGTAAAAGTCTTCAAAAGTGAGGCATTTCAAACACTTGGTACCCAAAGAGAAAAACAAATGCCCTTGATGGGAAATTTCTTAGTCATTTGGGTACCATTCTGAAGGACGATCTGGAGGAAGATGATCCGAAGGAAAATGATCCAGAGGAGGATCCACCTGAAGACGAAGACTTAAAGACAAAATAACTTGCTTTTAAGACTTATGTCATTCAGTATGATTAGAATCTAGGTTGTCGGTGAGGCCTAACCACAATTACTTTTCTGCAGACCCTAGGTTATACTTATACAACACATGCCGTGGACTGAGGATTTTACTTTACTCTGGTGGTTTATATTGATGTGTTTACTTTGTGTGTGCAATTGATGCATGCAAATTTCAATTTTTTCAGTTTTTATTGTACTATGAATGTTATATTTAATTTTTGTTTTTTAATTTTGCTACCCTATGATGAAAAGCAACCAATGATCATGTATAGATAGTGCTTTGGACATGTTTTACTTTGGGCTTACTAGCTTCTTTGGTGCCTTGGCTCTTGGGCTAATGTGGGCTTCTTGGTTTGAGCTTGGTTGTTCGGGTTTTACTGCTTTGTTGGGAGCTGTGATGTTTTCAACTCATTATTGCTGAGCTGTTGCTTCTTTATCAGCTCATTATTACTTGTAGTTCATCTCCTTTTTAGCTCATTAAGGGAAGTTGTCCTGGTTCTTTCCCCCTCTCTGTTTGCCTTCGGTTTCTCCGCCTGGCTCTTATCCTGTGGCTAGTTTTTCCTATTCCCCGTGGCTGCCCATTCCTATCCCCCATGTGGCCCCTTCAGGTGTTGCTACTAGAGCCGCTTGCTGGCCTTCTGTTTCCCCTTTCCTGATTGGTTCAGCTGGAGGTGTTTGGGGTTGTTTGGTTGCCTCTTTTCACATATATATATTTGATGTTTTGAAGCATTTGGAAGTTGTTGTTTGTTGAGCAAAGTTCTCTAAAAACTTGAGGGTTTCCTCTTGGGAAAGTTTACGAGCTTGTTCCATTTTTCTTCTCTTCTCTTTGATTTCATCTTGGGCTTCTTATCTACTTCTTCTCTCCACAAATTTCCACTCCACTTGTATATTTCTTCTCAAGCTATTATAGGTGTTGGTTGGCCGGTTTGGTAGCATTTGCTGGAGGAGTTTGTGGTGGACGTTGGCCCAAGTAGCTGTGATGGACCCTTGGTTTGCGTGTCCTTAAGCACTTCTATTACATTACCTACTATTTCGTTGCAAGTGAGGTGACCGCTAGATGGTTGTTTTGAGGGTAGTTATTTTTATTTTTAATTTAGTTTTCGTTTGTTTAACTTTCGTTTGTTGGGAGGTTTGTTTGATGTTGGCTTTCTAAAATTTGAATTGAGAAAAGTTCTACTAGTCCTAGTGTTCTCCCTTTTTATTTTTTTATCTAGTTGTCTGCATCAGCAATATAACTTCCCTACTTTTCTTAGGTTTCTTTCTTACATGTGTGTGACCTGTTTTCACTAGGCTCTCTAGGATAAAAAATTTTCTACTCATAACTAAGATTCAAAATTTTAAGAATTACATAACATAGAAATCTAAGGACCTAGGTAATAGCCAGAATAGTCTGGGGTCGCATGCATGTTATTATATTTATCTTTCTCATTCTATAAGACACTTCCCCACCTGCAGATAGAGTCTGGATAATCTGGCCTATAAGGATGAGGTGTTAGACCTTGGGAAGTCCAGTCTTTTTCTAAAAAATTATTTTTATAAGTTTTTTTAAAGTTCATGCCTTTCTGATTTTTGAGACTTTTCAACTAACATATATTGCATTAGGAACCAACTAAATAAAAAATTTAATTGCATTAACTCTAAGAGCATTCACCCTATATAAGTCCAAGGCCAATTAGGAAACTCTTTAGACGTTGGCCTTACTTCCAATAACTGATCTACCTATCCATCTTTCATAAAGAATGAACAACATGAATTTTATGCGCTTAGGAGGTTAGCTGGCTTTCCTTTTTTAGGCAGGATATAAGTCCATGATGCATTAGTTAGGACACAGATGTTAATGATGGGTGTAGAACACTAACACCTTAGATTTAAAGTTTAAAACTACTACATTGGGTGTCTCGTAGTACGCCTCATCGGTGGGTAAATCTCCTTTTCTTCAGGGACTATAAATCATGTTTATTCGTGTCACGTGGATGACGTCACTTCCATCTTTTCCCTCTGCATGCTTTGAGTGATTTGTTTCCTTTCTCTAGTATCTCCTCTCTATTTTAGCCCCTCCGGATACTGAGATGAACCGTGCATGTTGACTAAACCACTTGAACCCTTCATTTTCCTTTGAGTAGGATTTCCTAATCTCCGCCCTTTTGTGTCAATTCCACTTCGGAAAGAATAATGCGGATCCTTAATCGACATCATTCTCAGGCTCCGACCTTAGATGTAATAAAATACAAGAGCTTGTGCCCGTGGGAAACGGAATTCCACCATCAAATAAACCACACTCGAGCTGATGTATTGAGTTGGGAAAACCTGTTGTTTCGATCGGGTCGTGCATATTATTACCCATTGAGGTGCATTGGCGAGAGCCGCTATTCTCAATGGTTAATCGTATGTGCGATCTAATCTGTACTTCCATTAGCCCGCTTGCGAAGAGCATGGAGGCCTACTATCGTCTCGTCCCTCGGGATGGTGCGGTCGTATTCCCTTTGCACTGTCCCCTGCATAGTGGATACCCTTTCGGAGGTCCACAATGTAATATAATCCTTCCTAAATCAGCAACCTAGCTATGAAAGGAATTAATGTAATCCAGGTAGTCTTCCCACGGATTATTGTTCATAGCCGAGGGATCGTCTTTGGAACGAGAGGCTCCTTCACTATAATAGATTTGTTCATGTTTGTAGTTGATTAAAGAGTTCATTAATAAGCTTATTTATAAGAAAAAATATTTTTTTAGCTCATCTTTTCATAAACGGGCTCATTTGGCAACTCAAAAACTACTCGTTAAATATGTTTGCAAATAGTCTCTATGGTAATTACTTGTTAGTAAGCATGATAAGGCTCTTTGGTTAAGCTAATGAATATCTAGAAAGTAAATATCATTAATAGATAGACAAGGATCGTTTGTTTAAAATTCGATAAGCACGGAACAAAACGAACATAAACCGAACACAAACCAAATATGAGCATCAATCACTTCAAATGAACCAAGTTTGAACACAATATAAAAGCTTGAAACAAGCTTAAACAAGTTAATAAATAAGCTCAGATATGAACAAGCACCTGCTCGTTCAACTAAGTTCATTTGCAGGCCTAATTTCCTGACGCAATAATACAAAATGACAGCTCCTGCGACTGAAAATGAAAAAAATTGGATAAACTCCAGCATCAGCATCTTAATATAACCTTTAAACACGTGCACATTCCTAAAAGAATATAAATGATTATTTATATTCAATAATATATGAAAATCAAATAATAATAATAATAATAAAGTAAAACAGCTTTTGAACTCAGCTATTACCTCTAAAAAAATTGAGTCATACCTTCAGCATAAAATCTCGACGAAGAAAATAATTAAGAAACATAAAGCTATGTTCTTTGTTAAGTTGTCAACCATTTAACTTTTAAAAAACCAACTTATAATCAAGTTCCTTAATAAACTAGTGACATGTCTATTTAGGATGACTACAAATTTTTATAAAGGAGATTATAAAACTGTTGCGTAGAAATTAACTTTTTTGAAAGTGATTATAAAATATAGTTTTCAAACACAAATTTCTTGAAAGCAGCGAAAAATGGCATCCCAACAAAAATTATGATTGCGGTCTGAAAAAATAAAGCAGTAAGAAAGCTATCCCAAACAAACCTAAAAACATGAAATACGTTTTGAAATTGCATGAACTATCCCACATTTTATAGCTTATATAAAAAAAAAGACATTTTACCCTTAAAAAGAATAATTTAAATTTTCGATAAACCAGAAAGCATACATTAAGTTTAATAATTGAAGGTCACAAAACTTACAGGAACTGGAAATGTAAAAAAATTGAAAATTGCTAGTTCTAAATACCTATAAAAGAAGCTGTTTCTTTTTTGGCTCAAGTAATGGAGGATCAATGTCGATTCCCATGTTAGCAGCAGTACCAGCAATGATTCTCATGGCAGCTTCAATGGTTGTACAGTTCAAATCAGGCAGTTTCTCCTGCGCTATGGTCCGGACTTGGTCGATAGTTACTTTCCCCACTTTCTGCAACTTGGGCTCCTTCGAACCTTTCTCCACTCCTAAGCACCAGAGATTAACAGGAATATATCATTCAAGCAATTTCGATTGTTATAGAAGAAGCTGATACAAATTGGTAATAGGAGAATGGATCATCTGAGATATCAAAAATCTGATCTTTCTTGGCAAAGAGTACGAACTAATGAAAAGAATTTTGTGCTAGTCAAGAAAAGGATAATATGATGTGATTAGTACAAACGAGTTAAAAATTTATATTATTATAAGCTCATTTATAACTCAGCAAAAAAATGTCAAGAAAACCAGAATGTGGGCCTTGTAAATAGTCTTCCTGGAGAGAAGAGTTCAAGCTCTGTGGAAATGTCAGATGCAGTAAACTTCCCAGGTCTTTACTGGAAGCTTAAGGAAACAAATCACAGCAAAAATGAAATAACTTTCTTTATATCATCTCTAATCGAAAACCTCATTTTACACTCCAAAATACAGTAATACTGTAAAATGCAGTAATTCATCTCTAACCGAACTCCATTTTTAACATAAAAAAGAATATTCCAAGTATATTCTTTCTCCAACCGGAAGAGATGAAGAAAAAAATGACGCACGTGAAAAGTGCGACGTCAATATTGTGGGACGACGTCAATATTGACGTCGCACTATTCACCTTGCGCAAAATGGCATTGAATATGACGTTTAGAGTTTCGCAGCCACTGCAAACACTTGTTTGGGATTCGGTTGGAGATGCCAAAAGAAAAATAGAAAAATAAAGGGGGTTCAATCCATACCCTTAAAATCATACATGCCTATGGAAAATGTTAAATGCAGAATCTCTTGAGCTAACATTTAAGATAGTATGTCAGCACACAAAAAATACACTATTGCCTTTTCATGTGGAGAAACTGCGGAAAAATAGAGGGGTTCATTTGACTTCTCTTTGCACTTCTTAGAATAGTGTAAAACTCAAGGAAAGAAGGTACAATGGAAAAGAGGATCTGCATGGCTACACAGGACTTATTTCTATATACATCCATTTCCCATAAGCTTCAGCATGCATATAAAGCCTAGAACCTATTAGCATTTTTGCTTGGATCAGCATCCTCATGGATAAAATGGGCAATTAGAGTAAGCTAGGGCCGGCCATAAAGATGAGAGCATGATGAGGTAGCTTCTCCTTAATTATTTGGAGTAGTACTGATATAGCTTCTTTAAGATCTAGAGTAGTTTTGAGGTAGCTTCTCCTTAAGATTGAAAGTGATCATGAAGTAACTTCTTCATGAGACTCTTAATGAAAGAAGATGAAAGATAAAGAGGCTAAGAATTTATATTTCATATTTCATGTAACTATGGACTTTCATGGAGCTGACTTTTCATTTTATTTTTTGGCCCTTCGATATTCTTGTCTTTCTATATTCTTCATAATGTAAAACCTATAAATAGTCATAGAAACTAGGTTGTAAGCACCATATTTTTTAGTACAAGGTGATATTATTCTCTTTTTCAAACTAAGATGAGTGGCTAGTTTAAACAATCTCTTAATGGTTAGCTTGAGAGTGATACCATTTATTTAGTGAGGAATATGTGTTTATCATGTTTGTATATTGGTGTGTTATTTATTTTCTTCAATCCTCAACTCTTCAAGGCCTTAGCACCACTTTATCATGTTGTCTCTATTTACATGATATATATAGAAGTATTGTGACATCTTTTACATAAATAGGCTATAAATGCTGTGATTGATGCTCTGCATAATCGATAAACATGAGAATTGGTTGGCCGTCCCCTGTGGTCAAACAAATCACCTGGCAATGGGTTTTTAATCTTAAGTTTTATCTTGATGGGTCCATTAATTGATACAAAGCTAGCTAGTTGTCGAAGATTTTTCTCAATTCTATAGGATAGATTCCTATGAAACTTGATCTCTGATAGCTAGACTGAACTATTAGCATTCTACTCTCGATGGCCAAAAGCCAAAGTTGAACCATGTTACAAAAGGGTATTAGTAACACCTTCATAGTGTCTTGAATGAGGTTGTCTATATGGAGCAATATAAATGTGAGAACTGGACCTGTTCAGTTAACTGAACAGGCCTGTTCTTTCAGCAGGCGGACATTCCGTGAGCAGGACTGAAGCAGGCAGCAAACCGAGCAACCGTATGTGTGCGTAAAACCTCCAGATGGGTTCAGTTCGTGATTCTGAGCAAATGAACAATTACGGGAGTGAAAAAGAACGACTCCTCACGTGAGATATCTCCATTTCATTCACTCCTATAGGAGCAAATCGCATGAGAAGCTTCAACCGAGAGAATTGAACGAAGAGGAAGAAGGAAGAGAAGCAAGGTAAGTTATTTGTCATTCTCGTTCACTTTGTGTGAATTTCCTTCGTGACTTAAACTTAATAAAGGATCCAAATATCTTTTAAAGGAGAAGGAAGAGAACTTGAGAGAAAAAGAAGGATTTTGTGTTAGAAAAATTCTCCTTTGTAAGTGATTTCAATCATGTTTTTTGTTCAAATATATATATATATATATATATATATATTATTTTGATGGAAAATAATAATGTAGGATTTTAGAAAGAAAGAAAGCAAATTGGTGGAAGTTCGATTTGGCAAGAAGAGACAAATTGAGGTAAGATTTTTTTAATGGGACAATTATGTGAAATTAATGAAAGTTAATAATAGTAGTTATGTAATTTTGTGTGAAACTTTAGGCTGCATTGTAGAAGATTATTTTCAAAACTTGAGGTTTGAAAGGAATTAAAGTTCAAAAGCAATTAAAGTGAAATTGAAATTATTTTATTTTCAAGCATAGCAAGGCAGCCAGTTCTACCCCTCCTTTAGTGAGATTGGAAGTGAGGTTGTGGCATTTTTTTTTGTTACTTTCTATAAATATTCTCGTGTTGCTTTTATACTTAATCAAACATCTCTTTAAAATTATAGCAACACTTCATCAAGATGTTGTGACCAAAAAGATTATTACTCCTCACATTTAGGCTTCGTTTGGGACAACTTTTTTTGTTACTTTATAAAACTGTTTTTTAGTACAAAAAATTTCAATTCAAGAAATTTTTTGAAATTTTTTGTACTAAAAAATTGTTTTAGAAAATAGCAAAGAAGCCGTCCCAAATGAAGCCTTATAGTGCAGAATAAGTGACATATATCTTCACCAAAGCTCTATATCCCTTACTATTTTCTCTGCTATGTGATAAGTTGTAGACAACAGATATATAAGCTCCAGCTTGAGATAGAGGGCTAGCATACTAAAAAATTATATAAATATATCCTTATAAAAAGATGGTATTAATTTCTGCATGATTTACATGTTTCTCCCTTTTATTACACTTATTGTCTCCCTTTATTTCCTACCTACTGTATCCATCATGCATATTTATAAAGAGATACTATTGTTCAATGAATAATATCATCAAAATTAAATTTCATAGTATTTCATTGTTTATTCTTCCGCATCAAAACAGGTTTTATTAGAAACCCAGATAAATAAGGCTTGGTTTCTAGCTCTATATAAGGAGCATGGGTTGTGTGGCTAGTAGTACTTTCCTCTAATTTTAGTTGGCTCCATCTGACCTCTATTCCAAAATTTGTCCAGTTGCAAAAGCCAACTAACTAGTATATGGACAATGACACAAAAATGTATTGGCAGAGAATTCCATGATAGATAAGAGAGAAAAGAAAAACTTTTGAGTTTACCATCTTTGGCCAGACTCCGTTGTAACCACCAACTGCTAGTTTGGCCACAAAGTAACATAGGTCGGAGTTTAAGGCCCCTCTTATTGCCTTGCGGACAACTTCGGCCAAAACAAACCGTTCCAATAATCTTCTAGAAAACTAACTATCAAGAGGTTTTATTTAGCCATTTCCAACTTTTACTTGAAAACTCTTAAGACACTCTATTAGTACAATGGGTGCCAAAAAGATGCTTATCAAATAGGACCAAGAGTTGGCTTCAAAGAAGGTACAACAGCGAGACAACCGTGAGGCCATTAGGTCAAAGCAGACAATACCTCAATAATTAAGAGTTTGGGCTATTACAAAATGGTATCAGAGCAATACACCAGCAAGAAGATGAGAACTAAATATTATGCAGGATAAAGTATTACACCATGGGGGCCGCCTCTTGAACTCTATATGGGACAAAGTACTGCATAGTGAAAGCCACCCCTTGAACTTGTAGGGGCCACCTCTATAACCTTATCTACCGGGTGAATGATTATGAGATAAGGATATTGACAAGGACATCAATTACTTAAGTAGGGGAGATTGTGAAATTCATCAACTAAAAAGAGGATGTTAGTTATTTAAGTAGGGGAGATTGTGAATCATATATGGTATGAAGTGCTATATTGTGGAAGCCACCACTTAAACTTATAGATGCCACCTCTAGAATCCTATATGTCCGATAAATGATTTCAGTATAAGGATATTGACGAGGACATAAGTTACTAAAGTGGAAAAGATTTTGAAACCCCTAAAATGAAATGAAGATAAATTTTTAAATATTGAGGCACTTTTTTGTATGATGGTTGAAATTTCATTAAGAAGCTCCAAAGTTAAGCATGCTCGTGCAGGAGCAATCATGGGAAGGGTGACCTTCTGAGATAGTACACCAACAGGACAAAACTGTGAGGCTATCATGCTAAAATAGATAATACCTCAACAGTTAAGAGTTTAGGTTGTTATAATAATATCCCTTATAAAGTAACAACCAACTTTGATAAATTTAGTTCTTCATGGAAAAAAGATTGCTACTAATATAAATGTGACTTGATTATCGCATTCTAAGATCATAGGATGGGTAATAAGAAAACCACATTCTTTGGAAAGTTTTAATCCACCTTCCTTATTATATAAATTAAGAAGGCATTTGGGCTCCTCAACTCTTTGGTAACAAAAGCTTTTTTGAATTTACTTCTTTATTTCAATCATGTCAGATGTATCACTCCCAGTTAGTAGAATTTTATCAATAAACACAATAAGAAATACAATGCCAATAAGATTAGTCTCTAATAAAGATAGGAAAATCAACAATACTAATATGCAATTCAACAGAAGCAAAAGCTTTCAAAAGTTTGTAAAATAAAAAATGAAAACTTAGTTTCAATTCATATTTAGCGTTTCAAACATGTATATTTTGTCCTCACCTTGAGCAACATGCATGTCAATTAAAATGGAGAATGGGGCAATCATAGAACTAGGTTGTAGATGAAAATAAGTTGATTTTGACAGTGGGAAGACAGCAAGCAGATAGGTCGGCATATTGTAGTTGCAAGGTTGCGAATTAAGAGAAGGCTGCATGGTTGCATCGATACAAGCTGTGAGTGTGGCTCATGAAGCACTGCACTAAATAAAGTAGTCTTAGGATTGAATTAAGGAATGTGTGCAGCATGTGTAATATTGGCCGAGAAAAGGTCTATGGAGAAACAGCGTATTGTGGGAGGGGAGCAACAATAGAGACTATGATAGGCATAAGCAAGACCAAGAACAAGCCATGAGAGGAGTGGAGGTCTGAAGCACGAGAACTCGAGAAGTATTATGTAATGCATGTGAAGGCCAAATAATATCAAGCATAGAAGACATTGGTGGAATAGAAAGGTTAGAGGAATGGAGAGGGAGTCCCATAGCTATGGTTGCTAACCTTGATCTGATAACATGTTAGAGAGAAAATATTTTTTTGTGTTCATTCACTTGGAGAACCCCTCTACTTATAATAGAGATTGGATAAAAAATCCTAAAGGAATAATTAAATAAAAAATATATTGCATATTACATCTCGCTAACATTCTAGTCTGGATATTGCCTACCCCGACATATGCTATAACATATCTAGTTTTTATTAAGTCGAGTTTCACTAATGAAGATTTATTTATAAATGAGCAATCTTGGCTTTAAAGAACCATCTTTTGAACATGGAACAATACTTAGCGGACATTAGAGCAATCAAACTCTTCAGATTATGAGTAGAAGTTCAAACCTGCGGCCTTGAGGAGAAGAACTGAGGCCGGCGGTGTCTTCAACACGAAAGTAAAACTCTTATCCTGTTCAACATAGATGAGGGGAAAATTACCTGTTATCAAGCCTTGTAATGAAAACATTCAAAAAGGTATATTAAGTCCTCGAATTTGAACCAAAATCCAATTCCATGGTGCAGGCAAATGAAAATAATAATTAAAAAATAAAAAAGAAACCGTTGATTCGAGCATAAAGATGAAATAAGAATCAACTGGAAACGAAAACGAGGAAATTGCTCACATCGTAAACGGTAATCTCGACTGGAATCACATAGCCAGCCTTCTCCGCCGTCTTGGCATTGTACTCCTTGCAGAAAGCCATAATATTTACGCCCTTCGAGCCCAGCGCAGGTCCAACCGGCGGCGCAGGCGTGGCCTTCCCCGCATCAAGAGCGAGCTTGATCACACCCACCACTGCGAAGGTAAAGGAGATGCTAAACAGAAATTCATCAAGAAGATATAATCAGTAGGAAAATTACCCTTCTTGGCTTTTCCCTTTGGAGGGGCCATGGCTTTGACGATGAAAGGCCTCGGAGAGCGAAGAAGGGAGCACTCTCTGTGGAGAAGTGGGCGGAAAGAGATCTTCGGTGTGGAGTCGAAGCCTGGGAGAAAGGAGGAAGGGAGAATGCTAATCTTGTGAGATGGTGAAGGGAGACGAGTAACGAAAATGGAGGGCGAGACGGTGGCAGCCATGGAAGATGACTGAGGGGAAGAAACTGCGAGAGACAGTAAGAGATAACGGGTGTAGCGATAAAGCCAGGCCGGGCGGGAACATTATCTGAGCTGGGTTAGGCTGCAAGCGGTAAGGTCACCGCTGAAACATATTTTGTTTATATTTTTATGGGGGTTTATATATCACTCAAATTTTTTTATATGCTTAAATTATATATATCAACGAGACTAATCGAGCAAACTTAAGATCATTCAATTCTAAAATTATCAAGACACTTAAATATTGAATGAATGATTTATAGAGTTTTAGGCCATCCAATGAAGAATTATGTAATTATGATCAAATTTATCAAAAAGCTACTATAAAAGAAATTATTCTCTACATAAAGGGGTCGTTGTTCTGAAGTTAAAAAAGGGGAAGAGATTTGACGAACTATAGAGATGTATTCGACAACTGAAGTTGATGATCGTTGACAACAATCATCATCTTTCGATTATTATTACTTGCCTGCCATCTTCACTTCACAAAAATCATCAAATCATTATCATCATCCATCCAATACTTCTCCCACAATCTATACTACGTACAATAAAAGGAGACCAAACAATTGCTTCTAATTTTGAAATTCAATCTTCCCCAATTATGGGGAAGCTTTGACTTCCATAATTTGAAATAAATAGTGAATTTTTTCAATTGAGGCCAAGCTTTATAGATTTTTTCCTTCCATTTTTGATTTTTTGCATAAAAACTTTGGTGTTTATTATGAAGATTTATTTTATCTATTTGTGTGCTAGATCTTTATATAAATTTGACCAAACAATCTACTTTCGTGAATATTCTAGTACAAATAGTTTGACACGTAAGTGTGATACATTCCCAATATTTTACAAACATATTTTAAATGGGTAGCAATTAAACCCTCAATCAAGGATAACACAACATATTTAGTAAAGGCCACAAGAGCCTTACTTTAGAGGATCATTTTTATGTGCATGATGGAGTAACATCGAGCTCAAAGCTTTCACCACTTACAAGATGCAAGACAATTAATATCATCATCAAAGCACAATGAACTTCTCCCATCACAAAATTAATAGCAGACCAAAGCTAATAAATTTGATGCTACCATTTAAAGCATCCTCAAAATCATGCTAAAGTTTCTCCTTCATCACAGTCAAATCAAGGTCTATCATAGACTACCAAATCAACCCATCCATCATGTGTCTCGGCCAACCTATATTCTTCTAACATCTTGGTGGACTAGAAGCAACCTCAGTTCATTGACACCCATTATGATGTTATAAATGGTTAAATTTGATGCATTTTTTAAAGAGAAAATCCATTCAAAGGAGAAGAATCAAATTATTCCGCATCACAACTTTCAAGAGCCATTTCCTTTGACTAATGTAATTCTCCAACTTCTTATGTTAGTAGAGGGCAGATTATTTGTAATTAATTCTTATGATTGAACCTTAGATTCTCATGAGAATATCAACCACTAAGAGCATGTTCAACAAGCATGTGATGTAGTCCTTTGTCAGGCTTCTCTGTAACTCTAAAGAGATAGACTCACACATGATTTTACTCTGATAAAAATATTTATATTTTTGTTGATCTAATTAAATTTCTTATCAGATAATTCATTACAAATCTAAGGATCATCAATGATTCCTTCCATTCTCCGATCATTTGTTAAAATGAGGTTGAGACTATATATGAATAGCACTTTCAAATATTCTCTTCTTAAATACATTAGATCTCTTAATTTGGAGTTATTGTGAGGCTTTTTTTCTTGGAGGTCTATGCATTAAACATTTCTACAACTCATTTGTGCAAGAAATAATCCTTTCTATATTGATCTTATTCATCAAACAAAAATATAAATAGAAATAATCACTACTATGATGATCTTATTCATCAAGTAGAAAACAAATAGCTATCGGTGAGGTCTTCAACATCCATAAAAAATAATTTGAAAATTCTTTAAATAAATATAAGAATTCATAACAAAAAAATTGATCAAGTTCTCTAGGAGTAATCAAGAAACTAAAGGCATCTTTCTCTCTAAATTCAATAATCTTAATAATAACACAAGTCCGTTGATTAAACCCCATCAAACACATCTAAGACTAATATCCTGATAGAGATTTGAAATTTTAAACATCTTAAATGGACAAAAATCTCTTAAAAATTAAAATGTGGAGACCAATCCCAACAATTTCATTTTCACCATTTAAAAGGACATTCAATAGAAAGGCCCTTCATCTAAAGGAATGAATTAAATGTTTGATTTACCAAGGATACTTTGCCACTATTTATAAGAATGCAACAACTTAAAAGAGATTATTAGAGTTATGATAGGAAAATTATTGGGAGTATTGATACTTATCTATAGGAAAATGTGTCGAAAGCATTTAAATTATTTTTTAAGACTTTAACATTGAAGAAATATATTGTTCACATTAAAATTCTCATATCATCTTAATTAGGACATCCACCATCAATACTACAAATTTTTGCTGATACAATGTAAATATGTATGTAATGTGCTTTTATTGGGGGTCTGAAAACAGCATATTTGTTTGTTTAAATGTGGTTAATTTAGCTGTTGAGATGAAGTTTTGTCTATGTAATGAGGCCAATAAAAGTGTGGCTTTCTTAATTTTTTATTAAGATTTTGTATTTTATATAATATATGTTATTTGACACGAAAGTGCCAACTTCTTTTTAAGGCCCCAACATTATCTACAAATATTGAAATAATATAACAAATAATTTATTTTCCTTCAAAATTTTTTAAAATTTATTAATTGAAAATAAAAATTAGTTATAATTATCTTTGTGTTGTTTATTATTTTTATGATTTATTTGGATTTATTTTAAATTTTCACTTATTGATTATTTGTATATTTACCATTGTCAAAATAAATGCTACAGCTGATTATTTTAAGAAGTATAGTATAGTCTTATAATAAGAGAAATGAGTAGACATTTGGCTTCAATTATGCTCCTGCATAACGGGCGGGCAATTGAGTGTGAATGACCTGTTCACACCAACATTTACTGGAGGTCAAACCCATCCAATGAGAGTCCTGACAAATACCAATCTAGAGTACGTAGCTCAAATCACAAGTCTTTAAAGCACTTAAATATGACCCGTCAAGCAGTGTGGTAAATTAGGTATGTAATTATCCCATTGGAAATGATTTTATTGTAATAAATGTTGATGAAGATGAAGTGTGTGATGTTGTATTTGAACATGTTTCTAAAGAAGTGCTTATTATGTATGTTTAAGTTGAGACGACGGATATTAAAATAAGGATTGTTTAAAACTTAAAAGTCCGCATAACATAGTCCTATAACTTAGATGATATGAATGAAGATTTCCCAAACGGTCATACTGATATGATTGATGTCAATGAAGATATGCAGTAAGTTATCCCAATAGCTTATTTTCCAATCATCTAGCTATTCATGTTTTATATGCATAATCTTGGTGCCAAGTGATTTTTTGTGTAATAGCTATGTGAGAGTTGAAGTTGATATGATCATTGCAGCACCTTCAACACAATCATTTCATCATAACATGAATGAAGAGGAAGGTGTGGGTGGTCATATGCCAATAGTTCTTGAAGGCTATGAGACAATGAGTAGCAGTTCTGGCGATGAGTATGATAAAAATGTAGATGACTCTTCATCTGATTTTTGTGTGCCAGACACAACAGATCATCACAGTGCCATCCAAAATCTTATTAGATAATTGTATAAGATTTGTAATGTAGAAAAGGGGATGGTTTATAATAATAAATTTACTAGCTTATGTCACACTACTCGGGAGTGGGATGAGGAGATTGACTTCGACAATGCTAGCAGGAGTAGTAAAGGAGGAGAAGAATTGCAAATTCTACAGGAGTTAGTGGAAGGGACATGCTTCGCAAGTAAGGATGGCCTATAGTTTGTATTATGTGGGTGGTCAATTTTGAACAATGTCAACTTTATAATGGTAGCATCAAATAAATAGAAGTTGATAGCATTATGTATACATCATGGAACCGCTAATAAAATGTGTTTCTGGATTTTACATGCTTGTTCAAGAAAGCGTCTGGGAGGGTCGTGGAAGATTTTAAGAATAAGGAATGATCACACAAGCGCTACTCTAATTCTATTCATGGGTTATAGACAATACACTTCTATATTTATGAGCTCCTCCATCATACCATCAATTAGAGAACAAATGGACTTAAAGCCCAGAGAGATAATTGGTTGTATTGAAGCTAAATCCAACATTAAGGTTTCCTGCATGAAGGATTGGGTTGCTAGGAGGAAGTTCATTAAAGCTATATTTGGAAGTTATGATGAGTCGTATAGGATAGTGAATTTATTCATGGAAGTTGTTTTCTCCATTATGCCAGGAATAGTGTACCAGATTCAGTCCAACAACACACTTTCGAAGAATTTTTGGGCTTTTGGGCCCTCAATTAATGGTTGGAGGTATTGTCGAGCAGTTTGAAGCCTTGATGGGACCTTTATGCTTGAAAAATGTAGGGAAATTGTATTCACCATAGTTAGTATGAATACGAATAATATATTATTACCCTTTGCTTTCACCATTGTTGAGTCAGAATGTAATGAGTTATGGTTATGATTCCTTACGTATATGTACGAAACTTTACCAATCATAAGAAATAGATAATATATGTGATTTATTTCAGACAAACATACATGTTTAGTTAGTGGGTGCCAAGATATATTCTCAAATGTGGTTCATCATCATTGCCTCAGGAATCTCTTAGAGAACTTTATGAAAGAAATGCTCAAAATGGACATTGCATATGTTAATTTTCTATGCCAGAAAATGTACCTAATCGGTAGTACTTATGATCTTAGTATACACAATAGAACCAAGGTCAAATTATAAAACATTAAATATGAATTATATCAATTGCTACTAGACCAAGATGTGGCATGCTGGAATTAACACTCGACGACGGGCTAAGATATAGAGTTTTGACTACAATCACTTATGAATCATTTAATGGTGTCCTAAAAAGAGCCCGTGGATTGCCTATTCAAGCTTTGATTACTGCAATCTACTATAACTTAATAAGTATCTTCAAGCATCGTTGGTGTAAAGACCATTTTGCTCCCAGGTTCGTCCAGACGAAGTTGGATCGTCCGGGACGATCGATACAGGTTGTGCAGGAAAACGTTTCTGGCTACATGGTTCATCTGGACGAAATTTGGATAGTCTGGACGAAAATTTTTCAGAGGGAAAGTCGTCAGGGACGCTAATTAATTTCGTCTGGACGAAATTCGTCGAGAGCCCAAATCGTCCCGGGACAAAGTTGCGATCGTCCGGGACGATCAGTCTAGATATATATTGGAATGAGAATTTTTGGAAAGAAAAAGGACGTCCAGGAGAGAGAAAAATGAATGAAAAGAAGGAAAAGAGGATTTTTGGGCTACTCCGGTCCGTTTTTGTTCGTTGCTGTAGTTAGAGAAGTTGACCGACTCGAGGTAAGGCACATTCCGCCTTTCTCAATTTTCAGAAATATGGATTTTGACGATTTTTCTGTTCCGGATTTTGTTTCCGTTAGCGAATTTTTGGTATTATTTTCTTCTGATAAAGGTTTTACCGCGTAACTTTTGGTATGTCTCTGAGATGATAATTGTGCACGTTTTGAGTATTTTCTGGAAGATTTTTACCATATATTTTAGATTCTGCGGTGTTTTAATTGAACTGCAATTTATCAGGAAGTTGAAAAATGTTTTGTTAGTACAATGAAAGTCTTACAATATTGTTGTGAATGTTATGTGGTAATTTGGTAAATTTCTGAATCTGTGAATTTTGTGTAAATTCCGTATACTACCGTTATGCCGCTGAAATTTTGTATGAATTCTGCTTTTGTTCTGAATTGATATATTGAATGAATTGATTAATTGTATGCTATCAGAAGGGAGTTATAAGGGGCTAGGATCCCTTGAGATTCTGTTTGTGTCAGGAAAATCTGAAATGAGCTCTGAAATCTAAAAATAAGTTATATTCCGAAATTCCGAATATCTGTTCTGTTCTGTTCTGATGCTATAAGCACAAAGGGAGGCATAAGGGGCCAGAATCCGTTGAGATTATGTCAATGTCTGGGAAGAGAGGTATAAGGGGTTAGAATTTGTTGAGATTCTGTCAGGGTTAGGGAATCTGATGTTTGATATCTGATAATCTATTCTGTGACTTATCTGATCTATTTTATTTCTGTACGATTTTGGTTGAATCTGATATGAATCTGATACGAATGATTTGATATTAATGTGATTTTATCTGATTTCTGATTTTTGTACTATTCTGGTTATTCCGTACGATTATGTCTGCTCTGTGACATGAAAGCTTTATAATATCTGTTCTGAATTCTGATT